CAGATCAGACCGACAACATAGTTACTTTAGGGTTACTAGCCTATGGGTAACCTCCCTATGTGTGCACTAGACTATATATAGAGGGACTATCCCCCGTACTAGAATCATGTCCTAGCCATAGTCAAACAACGACATCCCCAAGTTTCCAAAATCAACAAGTTGTGCAACAACGCATATATCAACAAGAATATGCAAGATAATCGACAATCTACTAAGCACAACCAAATTTGGAAACCTATACGACACATGCTCTAAATCCACAACTAATATGATATGATGAATGTCGAATCTTCAGTGTACGATTCGTTACACGCTATGCATGAAAGATGTTAAACACGAAGTGTGCAAATCATTACACAAGGCAACAATATATTCAATAAGGAAAACATATTCTCATGAATACAAACATAGCAACTATATTATCCAATGTTCAAAACGTAACCAAATGAATATACAACAAGTCCAAATCCATGATTTTGATATAGAAACGATTTTCAAACACAATTAAATCCATGGCTCAATTCGATAGAATTTAATTAAATAAAAATAATTAAATTCCCTAAATTTTAATTCAATTCCAAATAACCTCAAATTAATACATATTAAAGAATATGGCATGGTCATTACCTATATCCATTCTAAAACTCAATTAGGTTATTGGAACAACAAAGTAAAACTCTAATTAAATCATACTAATTTAATTACCAAGGTTCTAAAGCAACTTCAAATGGTCCACAATTAATATATACTAGTAAACAAGTCATGGCCAATACAAACATCAAGTTAAAACCTTAATTAAGCTAATGGGATCACAAAATAGATTTTAATTAATTCTTTTAATTAAAATTTCTAGATTTTCAAACTTAACCAAATGCTCTCAAATTAACCTGTGTTGGAAAGCATGCCAAGAACTAATGTAATATCACATTATAAGTTTATTTCATTCAATTTAAGACCATATGAATTAAACTTTCACTAAAGTTAAATATAAATTAAAAGTTGCAATTCTCATACAATTAATCCCAATTGAATATATGTGAACAACTATACCTAAGCTTAATTTTCTAGCATGCTACAATTCAATTCCAAGTTGTATATCACCATGAGGATTAAATCTTAAACAAGGAAATTAATTAAATGAAAGGTTTCAAAACCTCACCGAATATTCTAAATCAAATATATGTGAAGCTATATGGCATATAGATCAAGAATATCAAGTCGGAATTCAAATTGAGTGAATAGTGCACTCGGAGCAAATTAATTAATAATTACTAATTTTCAAAACACCTCCAATTACTTTCAAATTCAACTTTGTTGAAGAGCATGCTAAGGCCTAATATAATATGCTAACACATATTAATTTCAAACTAGTTAAGGTCATGTGAATTAATCTTTCACCTAAGATAAATATTAAATAAAATCTTTAATACTTATTCAAATGTTCAAAATTTTAATACACGACAATGAGCATATCAAGGGGCAATATAAAATCATGCTACATGTTTAAACCAAGTCATGAGCAACCGGGAAAATTAAATCCCGTACAAAAAAAATAAATAATAAAATCTCTAAATTTTATATTTAATCATGCAAACAAGTAGTATAAGTATCACAAGCATACTATATAACAAGAATTTAAACCTAAAACATCCCCTACCTCAATTTGAGATGAAAATCCCAAGGCCCACCAAAATAAAAGTGCTCCGAATACGACGATACCGAGAGGTTTTGTCGGGGACAACACCGTGAACAAGAATCCGCAAGAAGCCCCATGAAAATCATAACTTGACCTCGAAACCAAACTCAAGAAATGGTCAAAACTAAATTCTAATAAGGGGGATAGGTAGAGCACGGCGAGGGGAATAACAAACGTTAAAGCCGAAGACTTTTCATCAAGGAAAAGTAAACCAAAAGAGGAGAGAGAAGATGGCAACACCCCTTGGGCTGCCATGGGAGCTCCAGGTCGTGCATGAAGAGGGAAGAAGATGAAAAATGAAATATCTCACCCCCCTTTTATAGAAATCTCAAAAAGTGCCCCGAACGGGCCCCGCCGGGTCCGAAAAAGTAAAATTTGAGCAGACGCGCTCAAATGGAAAAACTTTGTGAATGAAAAAGATTCAAAATGATAAAATATGAATAATGGAAGAAACGACGTCAAAAACCGAGTCCCGAGCAGAAAGTCATGCCTAAAACAAGTTTAGCGAAAACTGGGGCCAGAAACCCTGAAACTGGAAAACATCGACCAGGAGGAAATTTCAAGAGTACACAACTTGACGAAATGTGAAAATGAATCCCGTACGAGGATCCAGGCTCAAAACAAGACATTTTGCAATAACTTTCATTAATTGCACAATGGCCCCTCCAAAAAGTGAAAACTGCACTTATGGCCTAGAATGAAAATATCTTCCAAAATATTTTCTTAAAAACCCCTGAAATAAAATATCTTCAAAAGATATTTATGAAAAACACCCCAAAAAAAGAAAATAATTTCAAAGAACTTTGCATCCATGCCCCTATGGATACCGGGAGCAACCAGAGTACTTTCTTGCAAAAGTAAAGATACGTATTTCGTGGAAACCACTCAAGATGAAGGCACGTGAAGTCAAAAACCAACTCTGAGCATGAGAAGTGAGGTTGTGCCAAAATCTGACAAACGGAAATAAGACAGAATAGGGAAAAGGACAAAATAGCGCATAGTGTCGAAAAACGAAAAATGTGAAAATGACTCGGTCCTCAAAAGAAGTTGTCAATTCACGGAAAACAGTCTTAGGAACCAATTCCGAGCACTCGAAATAACACTAAGCGACACGAAACAGAGCTCAGAAAAGAAAATTAAACGAAAAAAATTCATTCGTAAAATTTCAGAAAAAAAGGAAAGGAAGGCAAATGACCGGGTCGTTACATACGTGTCCTTTTCTGATAAGGACAAAATCATAATTGAGCCATTGTGATGATTATTTATAAAATAATTATTTCAAATATATTTTATTAGGAATATTTAATTAGACCAAGTTTGGACCATTTAAATAATTTTATTAAACATGAGACTCATATTTAACGAGTCAATTTGTCAAAAACAAAAATTCACAAAATTTTAGTGTCACGAGTCTTTTTGATTATTTGAACATCCCAACTCAAACCCAGCCACCTGATCCTAACCTTAAAATCAAAGAACTCATTTATTTATTTATTTATATGGAGTTATGACAAATAAAGCTAACTAAAAACAAAACCAACCTTAATTCTAATCCAATTTTTTAATGTGAATATAATTCAAATTTACAGATTTAAACACAATCTAAATCCAATATTTGAAATTTCTTGAATTAATCTTGAACAGAATTTCATGCACTGGATTGAACTTGAATTTTTAGTCCTAAAAAAAATTAAAAATAAAATTTTTAATGTTGTCTTTTGCATGTTGTCAATCTGGTCCATTTTGTACTCGTTTTTCAGTGCTCACAAATTTTTTTCTTTTGGGACGCAAAGATTAGCTCTGATACTATCAGGACAATTTTTTCATCAAGCTCCTCTTATTTTGATTAAGAATTGACTTTAACATCATCTATCGTTACTGTCTTGTGCCCCATAAATATTGTCGGTTTTATGACTCCCGTTTTAAGTGTGCCACCTCTCTAAAAAAAAAAAAAAAAAAATGTTCGCGGAAGACAAAAGAAGAGAGTGAAGTCGAAAGTTCCGTCCATGGAGTAGGGATTGGGATTTGTGTGGATGGCTTATGGCTATGTACGTTGGACCGTGTACCACCAAGTGTAAGGAATAAACAAGTGGTTGACTGCCCACACGCCATCGCACGCCATTCTCATGCCCAAACAAGTCGACCTAAGACTAGCCATATGTATGGACTGGGGTCCAACCATCACACTCTCGGTCAAACTTCTGGCACGGCACTTCCTATATTAGTTGACTATATTATACTTAATCCAATTATGGGTCTCTTAAAACATCTCAAAATTCACTACTACAACTCGTTTAATGTATCAAATAATTATCATAATTTACCGTAGCATCTTGGCTATTATTGTGAATCTTGACATGACAAACACCTGTTTCTCATTCTGTCTTGTTTCGTCTCGTGTGTCTAAATTAATTATGCAAGAACTCTAAATTAATAATGTAATAATTTTAAATCAATAACACAAAAACTACATAAAATTGTTTGAATTATATGTTTTTGTGTTGCAATAGCATGTAATATATTGAATGTGTGTCACGAATTTGGCGTAAATATGTTTTATGAGTGTTAATCTTTGTTGCATGAGGGTTGAATATGTGATGTACCATTTTGGCATTGCAATGTACAGATCTTGTGCACCCTTAATTTATGTGTGTTTTTTTTATAAAAAAATCATCATTGTATCAATCAAACAAAACCTAGAAAATTGAAATCAGTTTATTGCAGTTATAAACCACGATTCTCTTTTAATAATATTGTGGGAACAATCTATTTTACTTTTCGAAAAAGAAAAAGTGAAAACAAACACACTACCAATCACGTGAATACCAAAACAAATACAAATTTTATGTTAGGTTATATTATTATTTATTAATATTTTTATTTTTATTATTATTATTCTATATATATATATATATTATCGGTCCAATTCGATTTTAATCGAGGTTCTAAATTTTAGAACCGAAACCAAAACTAAAGCTTAAAAAACCCAAATTGAAATGACGATTATGTTTGGTTGATACCAATTTATCAGTTTCAACTATTTTTTGTTAGTGAGATGATTTGAGCAATATGTGAAGTTTATTAATAGTCAAATATGAGTTAAGGTGTTAAAGTTGTTACCAATTCAAGGTAATCTACAAAAACTTGGCTTGTCAACCCATGTAGTTGAGATGGCCGAGTTGGTCTAAGGCGCCAGATTAAGGTTCTGGTCCGAAAGGGCGTGGGTTCAAATCCCACTCTCAACAACCATTTTTCTTTTTGTCTTTGCTAGTTGTCCACAAGCTTTTTGTTAATGACCAATATATTTCTTTTTTGTTCTTTTGCTTCAAACATATATAGCCATTGTGAAAAGATTTTTCTTTGCTAGTTTTGTCATGGTTATTCTACTAACACACAAGCTTTTTGTTAATTGCAAACATTTCTTTTTCTTTTTCTCTCTTGTTTTTTTTTTTATTTTTATTTTTTGCTTCAACATGTAGCTAATCTGGAGAGATTTTTCTTTTGCTAGGTTGTCATGGTAATTCTATCAACACACAAGCTTTTTGTTAATGGCCAAGGATCCAAATTATATGTGACTAGGGATAAACAAAACTACTCAAAACCGTATAAAGCATAAGTAATGTGCCTACTCAAAACCGCAAGGATGGCCTAGTGGAAAAGGCTTGGGGCCTGGAGCCTCCTTCAGGGCTTGGGACCTGGAGCCTCCTTCACGTTGCTCTAATGCCATTGGTGCGGATGAGATCCTTATCTACTAGTTTAGTGACGAGATTGAACTTTGGGGCCAAGAGTATAGGATATTAAGCTTCAGGTCTCAAGTTTGATTCCCATTAGGTGCGAACAATTCCTTGAAACCACGACCGCGAACATAGTCTGAATTTTACCCAATTCGTGTGAGGGATCGCCTTACACAAGTCCCGTGGATGAGTCGGGGCAAAGCCCTGGACACCCCGGCTATCGCAAATAAAAAATGTGCTGCTCAAATGGAAACTCAAAATCAAGTTTTTAAATTGGCATTCCCTCTCTCCTTGGTATGGACTTCAATTGGCATGTTTTTACATTATATAGCAATTACAGCCGAGTGTTTGAGCTTTGAATTATGGACAATCCATGACTCATGTATCATCAACAATGAAGTCAGCTTCTCCCATACATGCCAATTCTTAATAATCATGTACTGAATTCGACGCTAATCATGGATTTTTACTTGCCCAGAGCAAAGTAATTACCTGTGTATGGACTTCCCCGAAACCCTTGCCACGCTTTTCCATTCCGGTCTTTCGCTGTTAAGAAGTGTCAGTTAACCAATCTGTAACATGCAGCCAATGTTCTCAGGCTAATGTGCTGCTCAGTTGTGAACAGTATTGCTGAAAATGGCATAGGTTTATCAAGAATATTTTATTTTAAAATTTTGGATTCATTGTAAGAACAAATTTTGAAACTGAATGTGAAAGAAAAAACTCAAAAAACTTGTCTGATATTGATGTTGATTCTAGAATTTCTAATGTATTCTAAAAAACAAAGATCATCTTCACATGAGAACTGCTGCTCGAGATGGATGATCTCAGCATTTTCTTCATCTGTGAAGATCCGGGGGACACCTGCAAAAATGAAGCAGAAAGTTGAGTTAGCTTCAGAAAGAAGAACTATTCAATTCAAAATGGGATGAATGATATAAATAACAAATACTGTACCAAGCACCAGCTTTGGGGAAAACAATGCTACACATATATGTCAAAACGAAGTAAAATAAAGAGAAAAATAATGTAACATCAAGCAAGATAATTCTGGTAAGGGAAGTTCATGCTGACCATATAAATGACAAAATCACATGATTTGGTCTGCACCTCGTCTGAGATTCAAGACCAATCAGGTGGCCATCCTCCTTGGTGCATAAACACGTTTTCCTCTTCCACTATTCCCAGTTTAAGTCAGTCCCCTTCAAAAGAGTCAAGCTTCCTGAGCTTATTCCCATCATACAAACAATACTTCAACTACTTGTTACATTTACGAGGGAAATCATGGCACAATCGTATCGACGAGGCATAATGACCGTGTTGTGGGAACTGGTAAACTACTCGCACACACTTTTTCCACCCCTCCCTGGAACTGGTAAACTACTCGCACACACTTTTTCCACCCCTCCCCCCACCACGGCTAGAAGCCCTTTGGCGCAATTTATTTCAGTTTTATAGTACAAACACTTGATTACCTAGGATTACTTCTACTACCTCAGCCACTAAGAAAAAAAGAAGAAGACAAATTTCAACGAGTTGAAAGCTCAGCTGCATTAGGAAAGACTTGCACAGTTTACATGGTACAAGCAAGTAGGAACCTAATACCATGAAAAAGTGACTAATATGACAACAATGCAAATCTACCTATCACAAATACTTCATGCCATCATGTACATATTTAGCTGAGTTCCAAGAACTGAAATTTCTTATGGCACTTAAATTAAGGGGTTGAGATCCTGATTGCATTCAAAAGACAACATTACTTTTTCCATTTCAAATTTTTACTATAGGCTAGCTTTGAACAGAGAGGTACAATAGGTTGTATATGAAGGTAATCTATACCGTTTGCATAGTAGGGATCATTATCGTAGCTCGTAGACTGGCCATGCCACATTATAATAGACATTTCACATTTTATTAGCAGCCAAAATCTTTAAGATCTAGATTTTCACTACATCATATGCACCAAATTTTCATTTTAAAATACACTGAACATAGAATAAAAAATAGTAAAAAAAATCTACTGACCATGAAAGCATTCCCTTGCTTCTCCAGCCATAAGGACAACATCACCACTTCGAAGGAAAATTGCAAATGGTGTATCCTGTCTGGACTTCCCTCCAAGAAGGAATATGGCTTTGCAGCCCAAACTGAGGGAAAGCAAAATTATCTTATCAGGCCCCAACATAAATGTTTTTGCCTTTCTAGATAATCAAGAAAGAACAGGAAATAGCACGATACCTCATGCTTACAATAGGTTTACTCCAATCTGCTTCCATGTCATCAAGGTGACCCCCAAGCGTATCACCTAGAAGAAAAGCATTGCTGTTTTAACCAATAAATAATCCCTTTAATCATCAAGGACAATTGGCTAAAAAAGGTTGTATAACTAATAATTGTACTTCTCAATGATATTACTTATCAACAAAGGTATATTTCAGAAATTATGAAGAAAAAAAACTCAAACCAATTTGTTTACAACATTAAAGGTTAATCAACGATTATGTCAGTATACCACTGTCTAAGGAGTACCTAGCCCGAAGTAATTCACTATTGCAGCTTCTGGCTGAAATTCTTCCCCCAATGGCATTGCAGGTGCTGCCATTTTTTTAGCCAGTTGACAAAGTCCATGAGGGATCTTGTTGTGTGGGAGGGAAACATCATAGTTTCGCTGCATGATCATGGAGAAAGTTGCATCAGAAAATATTATTCCGCTTATCTGAATAAAGTAGAAGGAAGTGCACATGACATATTACCAAGGTTAATCCAGCAAAAATTCCATGAAAAATAAATAAATAAATTAATTAAAAAAAAAAAGCACAACGATGAAGTATGCTCAAGATACAATTACAGTTGGTGTTCATAGTTTATTGGCCACGCTGCAAAAATGAGCTACTGGAAGTGCCAGGGATCACCTTATCACCATTCTATATCAATGGGTCTAAATAATTTCCAACACCGGATAGCAAATACATAGCAAAATGCATCATAGACACCACAAAAACCTTGGCTTGGGTAGTATGTCCTGCAACTCCCAAAAGGGAAGGTTGAGGTTCATGTCCCAGTGGAGGCATGTGTGTGTGAGAGAGAGTATTACCATGAGAGAGAGAGAGAGAGAGAGAGAGAGAGAAGGAGAGAATCACAAGCACTATTAAGGCACCATACAAACCAAGATGTAGATTTAACTTTTGACATTATTTGCACAAAGTGACTATTCTCAAACTTAGAACATATTCTCCCACTTCACGACGAGCTTTTACCGCTATACTAAGCCGTGGCCCCTTAATGTACAGAAAATATTCATATTGTTGTAAACTAGATGTTTGCAATAAAGCACATGAAGGAAAATCTTATTCAAGGATCAAATGATTAATGAAACAACTAATATGGAACACAAGTTACAGCATAGAATTAGTGTAAATATCTTATGGAAGTTCAACAAATCAACATGCATAAAAAAAATGGAAATCCACAGTGGTAAGCTAATAGCTTGAACAAGATTTTACCACTATACATCAATGGCTCCTTTGTAAATAGAAATTATTCATATTGTTTTAGAACAAGATTTTTGTAAGGCATATGAAGTTAAGTTTTTTCAAGGCTCAAATGGTCGATGAAACATGAGTCACAACATAAAATTAGTGTGAATATCTTATGGAAGTTCAACATACAACGAAAATATGTAAATCCCTAGCAATATGTCAAGTGTTCTCTCACTTGATTGCAGGGTTGAACCATTTCACTAAACAACAGCCCCTTCATAGATAGAACTTATGCACGCCGTATTAAGACAAGATTTTTGTGATATGGCATGTGACGTGAAGTTTTTATTCAATGTTCAGATGACTGATGAAACAACTTATATGGAACACACAAGTCACAAGACCCACACCATACAATTAGTAAGAATACATTGTAGAAGTTCAACATGAATAAGAAATATGTAAATCCATAGTGGTAATCTCATAGATTGAAACCATATGTTCACATTATTAAAACACATGGGAGGAAATAATTAAAATGAGTGAATGACCAGTACACTAGATGCTTGCTAAATCAATAATAAGTAATAACAATTGAACACACTCCATACTTCACATGATTTATAAATTTTGGGCAGATTTTGATCAAGAAAATCTCATAGAAGATCCCAAATATCTCGGATGCTTGCTATCTTGATTTAGTGTGAGATGTCAAGTCCATCTTTTATACTTGGTCAAAAATCGATACCAGGACATAATAAAAAAATATGGTAAAGGCAATTTTCTTTTCCCAGTAAGTATGGTAAAGGCAATATTAACCAACTTGAGATAAATCAATGGAAAACAACAAGAGTGAAATTAGCAATGACCTTAGACCACTCAAATTGTAGGCCAAGGGTACTCCACCTTAGCTTCCGCAGCAAAACAGTTGCCGATACTGATTTGCGTGTGTCTCCTCTTGACAACACATCAGATCCCTCGGAAAATTTCCATCTAGAGGCATTTACGTCTCCAGAAGGAAAATTAGAATTGCAATCCAAACCTGTGGACAAACTCTCCTCTTCAACAAAAACTTTTCTTTCTTTGGCTGCAATGAATAAGTCATGTATTGGCCCATAAATTGCATTGTGATTTGTTCTATTAGGAGGCTGCGGGAAGCTTGTTAAGCTCTCCTTTATCCATTGGCATTGTTCCTCAATACTTAACACCCCAGGGATGAAATAAAATCCTGCATTGGAACACATCTATACTCAAAATAGAATTTTGATAATTTGGGAAGCTAGTGACAAAAGGGATGAATATCCAACCAAAAAAAAAAAAAAATTTAAACCACTCCGCATAGAACTCAATCAAAATTTTGATTCTGAGGTATATAGTTTGACGCCAAATGATGATACTATAGCTTCAAGCAGTCATCAACTGTGTTACATGGACTCGGGTACGTGTGTCGGACACGGTTGTATATCCATGAGTCGGACGTGTCAAATCTCTAAACAGGACACACAGACACGGTTAAAAATTCATTTTATTAATTAGTTTATTTTATTTTATAGAGTAATGTTTTTATCTAATATAGTCATTTAACTCATTTTAAAGTAATAATATAATGTAATTGAATGATTGGCTATGCTTTTTAAGTACATGTCCAACCAAAAGTGTCGGACACATATCCCATACCCATGTCCGAGGGATATGTGTCCGACACGGGTACTTCACTACTTTTGAAGAATCCGTGTAACAGAGGTCATCAAACAGTGAAAACACCCTAGATATGTGTTCTAACACAATAAGAACTCAGCCAAGGACCAATTGAAAATCAAATAACAATCTTTATTACTCTAATGATCTAATCCCATTTTGTACCACAATAACAGAGACATCAAGGTGGTGCTGAAGTATTCATCAACTCTGTAACAGTTCCACTGAGCTGAACCAAATGCAGTTTAACAACCTTCATTACCAGGAAAAAATATATATATACCTTCAATACTCTAATCCCACTTTGTACTAAATTATTATTGAAATCAAGGTGTCGTTTAACTCTGTCACAGTTCCATTTAGCTTAACCAAATGCAGCAACTAACAATGTAAATATGTCATATATTATATAATATTGTAAGGTGGTGCTGAACTAATTGGGTTCATCTATTATGTCATAGAAATTCTATATATATATACACACACACACACACTAATTGGGTTCATCAATTATGTCATAGAAATTTATATATATATATAGAAGACATTAAATATCAAATGCAAAGCTTAAAATCACTAGACATGAGAATTTAACATACCAGGGCGGTTCTCCAAACAGAAAACAGGCTGATTAAAATCGCGTTGAAGCACAGAAATTCCAGGAGGAAGTTCATTGTTTCGATTAAAGGAATCTAGAACGGACTTGAAATCAATAACCTCCGATAAATCTACTGGTCTTGGTTGCTTTTTCCTGATTGTGAACAGCACATCAGAGACTTGTACTTATGGCGTTATATATATATATACACACGCATACATACACACATATGTGTGTGATTATGAATTGAGGAGAGCTGGAAATTGATAAATATATGATACCTTTTGGAAGATTTGGTGCTGTGATCGTAATACAGTCTGTATTTCTTCTCTGCTTTCCTGAAAGCGGTTCGCTCTGAATCATCGTCGTTGACACTGTCGGCTCCGTACATTTTCACTGCTTAGCTTTTTAGATCGAGATTGGAGGGACACAAAACGATGACCAAGCTAGGGTTTTGGTTAGGGATACGAAAAAAGTTCACTCAGGTTGGTTATTTTAGCAAAGCCTTTCCTTGGTTTCACTGCAAGAATCTGACTTTTCGTTTTTTTTCTTTTTCAAATCTGGTTCACAAATGTAATACAGTAAATAATTTTCTATTATCATAAAAAATAATTACTTTATTTCTATGATTTATGACTAATACAATAAGTTACGGACACAATGATACCTCAAATTTTTTTAAAATATAATACAAATACAGAATAATAATAATAATAATAAATACAATTTTTATATAAAGATATATATATATTTTATTTATTAATTTTCTATTGTATTATGAATCTAAATGCAATCATTAATATAATGTAAGAATTTGTTTCAAAATAGATAAAACAAGCATTCCTGATCATCACTTAAAAAATTTAAACATTTTTTTTTACCATTATATTCTATTATTATTGTTGGAAAAGTCAAATTTTAATGTTTAAACTTGTTAAAAATGTGTTATAGAGTATCCGAGAAGTATTAGATAAGTAGTTGAAATATCGGAGAAATATTGGATACATGTTAGAAACTAAAATATTCAATAATTCATCATTGAGTACATACAGCTCGTTCCACATGCTCGAGCCAAAATTAGTTCTATAATTTGTAATAAAAAGTTAAGAAGCACCACAACAAAATCTTTGACAATTCATTTATCTTGTCTACCACAATTGTTTTTAAGTTATTATTGATTTATTAAGAAAAATTTAAAAATAAAAAACTAAAACAATAAAGAGTTAAAGAAAATGCTCCTATGCACAAAAGCATACATGTACTTCAAACTCTTGAACAAAGTAGTTGCTTCCTATTCTGAGCTAATCTATTTAGGTGCCCCTCTTTTTTTGACTTTCTAATTTTATCTACAATCAATTCACTATTTAATTCTCATTTCTCAGCAGATTGAAGTGTTTGTTAAAGTAATGAAGATGCCATTTAAAATAGTAAGTGTCACTTACAATAGGATATATTTTTAAGTGATAGAGATTTCATTTATTTTAACACTTAAAAACTAAATAAATATCAAAACAATTATGAATTTATAAATATCACTTAAAATTCAATTCTTAAATTTGTACTAAACATTGACAGTTCATCTTGTAATGATGTGGCAATAATTAACTAAGTTGATACAAGACTTTTGAACATGTCAAAAAAAAAAAAAAAAAAAACAACAACAACAACAACATTAAATAAGAGGGGAAAAAAAAACTTATTCACTATTACTCTAGATAATCGATCGTCTTGTTTGGCCAACAGTAGGGGTGGGATTTGGATGTGCTTAACCCGAGTAACTTGATTCTCGCTCAAAATATTTACGGTAGTGGACAAGGTACTTGAGATCATGGGATCTGATTGGTTTAAACTTTAAAGTCTGAATTTATTTTGAACGGGATTTGGACAAATATTTTACTAACTCAAGGAATTCAAAGAAATTTGAAAAATCCGTGTGATATGGCACAGGGTAAGAAGCAATGAGTTTTTTCAAAACTTGGGTTGGCGAGGGCATGTGGTCTAATCCCTTGACTCGCCCAAATCCCACTCGCGGCCAAACACACCGCGGGAGGGGGGGGAGGGGTGTGTGTGTAGGGGTGACAATTCGTATTCGCGGGTCATAATCGTGTCGTGCCAACTTAAGAATATTATACTAAACAACTCAATCTAAGCACCACCCGTTTAATAATCGTGTCAGGAACTCTCAACACTAACTCGACCTGTTTATTAAACGGGTTACACAATGACCTATTTATATATATATATATATATATATATATATATATATATATATATATATAGATATATATAATTTAAATTATTAATAATACTCAATAAAATAATAAATACTAAAAAAAATATAAGTTTTAGTCAACCAAATTACTAAATAGTTTATAGTTTACAAAAGATTAAATTATAAGACACGAGTTTATATAATAATTTTAGAATTTAAACAAAAATTTATTTATGACATATATAATTAAACGAATATAAACTGGTTACACGGGTTGAATCTTGTGATGCCCCTCGGATCCGAGACACTGGTTGATCAAGTCCGACCCGATTCCGAGGGATATTAAATAATTAAAGTATTTTAAATCGAACACGGAATACAAAATTGATTTAAGAAATAAAAATTTAAAAGCTGAAAGGAACTAGAAATAAATATCTTCCAAATATAATTATAAAAATCCAAACTTCAAAACCTCTGTAAGTTTACAACTCGGGAATCCAACTAGTGGACCCCTAATAATCTCAACTGATAAAACTTTACAAAATAAAATCCAAAACTAAAACCAGAAAGAAAAATCATATCTAGTCGGAAGAGTGAGTGACTGTATCTGCATCACCATGATCAAACCCTAAGCCTGGTACTTACGAACACTTGAAAAATAAAGGTGGGTCAGGCCCACATGCAAGTTCCATCCTACTACAATCCGTACATAAACCCGATACGCAGATACATCCTAGATAGCTCGGCAATATCTACAATATAACATAGGATGCTCACTAGCCTATAACATAGCTCAGCCTGGGTAGAAGGTGACATATCAAACACGCTTTTCAGCGGTCAAGTACCTAGACCTACCAGGGAACATTAGCTATATCTAGCTACTCAATCTTTGCAATATACGCACCCTAACCGTGATTAGGAGCCTCAAGCTCGTATCACGGTACCATAAATATATATATAAATTCTTTCCTAATATAGAAAAATAAAACAAACATCCGTTATGTCGTTCAACTGTTTTAGTTGACAGGACATGCATCCATGTAGGATTAACTATTCTAGTTAATCCATTCCGTATGTATGAAAGGGGTAGGACTTAGCTTTTTGATCTAATCCATCCCTAATATGTCACCGTCCCATACCGGTACATATAATGCATATGATCCACACATGATGCACACTCAAAATGAACATCAAGTATATCCAGAACCAACATAATAGAAATCAGATATAGATAAACTCCTATCATGCATCCAGTATATGATTATATTCATAGAACCTCCTTTTAAATTGTTAAAATAAGAATAAACAATTTAAACCATCCATTTCCATGTAATTGACAGAACAGAAATTAAGACAGTTCAGCAATTATCCTTCATAACATAATATAATGAATATCAGAATTTTAAACTGCACATTATACTAGAATTTCCAAAACAACACATCCATACTAGTTCGTTTAAAATGTTAAAATGATGACTAGCATTTAAATCCTCCCATATCCTTTACGGCATGCAAATTTATAATTAAATCTCATGGCATCTATGTAATTCCCCATTATAATGTGTCGGATATAATGACACTCCAAAGTTTAAGTACATCATATGAAACTTCAAAAGTATTTTATACCAGTTTCACTTAATTTGCTAACACGAAACTAGCAACTAACCTTCCACTACTCCCGACAATATACAACTTATTAGATACGAGTACATGACGTCATAACCAACATTCCTGGAACTGAACTATGCTAAATATATCATTGATATAAATTCTAACAATAATTACAATGTCAGTCCAAATTAAGTTGTCAAAACAACTTAGCGAAACAAGCATTCCTCCTTCCTTGACAGTAGGCCTATTATAAGCTTATGTTTTATGACATGCATTTAGGTTTAGCACCTTAGCATAAACCAACTATTTGAAGGCTTTAACAAGTTAATTTTAATCATTTAAAACCCCCCATCACTTTCCAGTAATTACCTTTAAGCCCCTGAACTTTAGAAAAATTGTAGAAAACACCCGTAGGGGTTTTTTTCCCATGGGAGCCGAATCCCCTTTATTGGAGCATGAGAGCCGGCTCTCACCCCTGAGAGCCCATCTCTGCTTCATTGCTTCGTTTCTGCTTCGTCCGGTTGTCGTTTGCTCTACCGGCGAAGCCCAACGTCCTATTCCAAATCTTTTTAACATTCCTAAGGTTCTATTCAAGTTCCTAAAGTCCTAGAAACCCTACATATTCCAATATGAATTTATTAACAAAGCTTCAACCGAACCAATTTTCTTTTCCTTTGTTTATCTTCTTCGCTTCCGGCGAAGACCACTCCTCTGCTCCAAGTTTCCTTAAAGTTCTTAAGGTTCAATACAAGTCCCAACAATCATAGAAACTTCTCAAATTCTATTATAAACTTGATTAACAGAAGTTTAAATAAAAAACAACACAGTTTGAGAAAAACCCAATTTCAGTTATTTAAACGTAAAACAGGTTACAGTCTAATATAACATGCATCAACTATTAGTTTTAAAGGTTGAATTAATCCCTGGAGACTATATAGAATGCACAGAACATAAGTTTATAGGAAGAAGACAGAATGAAACTTGCCTTTGAGATTTTTGAATTAAAATCCCTACGCTGTCTTCCTAGATTTTCCGGCGATCCCGCACTGTTCTAACTTATTTGCTTCCTCCTTGGTTCCTCATACGAACAACACTCCTATCCTTCCTTGGTTCAACCCACAGTCCATGGCTGAAATCCTATCTGGTGGTTCTATCAGTTTCAAGCGCCCCACTGTTTTTCCCTCAAACACCCATTACATGTCTCTGTATCTCTCTATCTCACAATACGTGAAAAGAGTTTTGTTTTCCTAACCCTAACAGACATATAAGATTATATATATAGGCACTTACTAAGACCTAATTCCAATTCCTAGCTAACTATAAGTCGGCTTATTTATCTCTATAAAAGAAAACCCTAATCCTATATAATCATACAAAAAAATATATACCAAATAAGTCATATTAAAACATACGTCATTTAATCCTACTTTTAAGTAAAAAAAAAAAAAAACAATTAAATTAAAGCAAAATTAAATAGTTAAAGCAACACAGCCATAAAACAGATAAATAATTAATTTAACATTTATAAACAATTACAATACAATAATTAAATTAAATACACACAAATAATAATAAAATAACTAATTTAACCAAATAACAAATAAGTCCAATAATTTAAATAAAAATGAAAAACAAACCAAAATATTTTCATTTTATCCTTTTTAAAATTAGGGATATTATAAATCTCTCAACTTAAATACGACACGATTAACTAAACGGGTTAATCATATCGACTCGTTTATAATCCACACTCATTTAAAATTAATCTAAACTTATTTAACCCGTGTTGTATGGTTGGTTTTGGCCCTTTTGGGTGTTTGGGGGAGGGGGTTGTTCAAAGCCCTTTTGGTGGTGGCCGGATCTCATTTTCTCTTTCTTTATATTTATGATTTCACCTTTTAAGGTGATTTGTGACGACAAACAAATTAGGTGATATGGTACGAACTTATTATCTTTTCTATTTATCATCGATAGTTCGCACTTGGACAAGTCTCCTGGTTTTTCCAAATTAATATTTTTTTTTTCCACGTGAACTTATTTTAATAGGTTTTCAAATATTGGGCAAACTTTTTTCCTTTTTGGGTGTATTCTATATTTTTACTAAAATTACTATATTATTCATTTATTTTTTTTTTTTTTCCAAAGCTAAAAATCACACAAGTAGGACCCATCAATAAATGCGTTTCTAACGTTCTCAAATACTTAAATGGACCCCATCGATTCAGTCAATTTTAAATTTCATTCATGTTACATGTAGATTTTTTTATTATTATTATTTTTTGCTCATGTTACATGTAGATCACTCATGCATATTTGATTCAAATCTCTAACTGTAAAAAACATTTTCCTTGAAATAAGTCCTTTTTCTAACTTAATTTTCAGAAGAAATTTCTTTAAAAACTATCTCAAATTCTCAATTCAAAGGAATTCTTAAGATTAATTTTCTTTTCTTTTCTTTTTTCTTTTTCTTTAAAAAAAAAAAATTGATAATTATAACTATTCTTAGAAATTTGAACGGACTAATCTTATATGTCTTCGCATACCATGCACAGACAATGCTTGATATCGTGTGTGTGTGTGTTTTCTTTTAGCATTCATGGACAATAATGCTTAATGTGTGCATGTATGGTGTGTGTGTATAACACATAACAACCTTAAAAGCCAAAACTATGTAAGACAACAGCTAATTTTTCTTATTTATGTCGTCTAACGGATTAAATAATACTGTAATTCAATGTTACAAAGAGAAGACAATTAACTACTACAAAGTTTTTCTATTATTTTCTTGTCTTCTTGTTCGAATAATATCAAACTCACGTTGCTATGCTATGCTATGCTGCAAGTTTGGATGTTAATCCCCGTTAATTCATTTTAAGAAATCATAGAGTTGTTTGCATAGTCTCCTAATTACAGTACTACTACCTTAAAGTTATAAATTTTAACATTATAGCATGCGAGTGATTGTAAATATTCGGAATTTATATTATAATTCCAAATAACGTCTGGCTAGGCGAGAAAGTCTACTATCATGGTTATCAGTTGCGGTTTTAGTTACTGTATCGATCGTGGTATAATGGATTCGGACGAATATCAGTATAAACCGATCGAATCAGTCAATTCATGGAGGTGTGTAACGATATCGAATTCTTGAAAAATGATTACGGATAGGCCGATATGGTGAACCATGACGTACTCCGGAATCTCTCTGTCGTTGAATCATTCATCAGGTGAATCACACCACCACATTCAAGGGCCGATAATCTCGGGGTTAATATATCCACGCTATTGTAGACTTTCACCTAGTTAGTAGGATTCCTCATTACCAAAAAGTTTTCAAAATTTTTAAGTATAATTTTCAAAAATTATAACTTTTCATTAGATCAAGAAAATTTTGTTTATTTTAGAATTTTAGAGAGAAGAGAAAAGAAAAAGAAAAAAGAGGACTTACGTATAAGAGCACTAAGAGTGCGTTTGGATGGGATGATTTGGAGGGGTATGAAAAGAAAAAAAAAAGAAATGATAAGGCTTAAATGCGTTTGGGTGGTTTAAAGTAGAGAAAATAAAGGATAGGGAGAGATTCCTTATCCCTCCTTTTCTATCTCTCAAAAAATGAGAAGATAAGAAAAGAAATGAAAGTGTTTAAGTAATATTTCTATAATCCCGAAAGTACCATCAACAATTAAAAAAAGAAAATTAAATATTCTACTCATATCCCTTTTATTTAAATGGTGAATAGTAATTTAGTTGTTATCATTAGCATACTTTTCTTACCTCTATTGAATCCAAACAACAATACTATTATATCATTTCTCTTCTATCTATCCAAAAATAAATAAAAATTATTGTTATCTCTTCTTTTTATTTCTTTTCTCTCATGACTAATTTTACCATTTCATTTCATTTTTTTTCTTTTCTTTTTTCTTATTTTTATCCAAACAAACCCTATATAAAAAAAACACAATGGAGAAAGGTAGGATGATGATAGGGTCATCTTTGGAAATCATTATACGACCAATCTTTAATAACGAAGATTATGATTGCCAAGGAAATTCAGGACATAATAGATTCAAAAGTTACCCATAACCCCACAAATTTAATTTGTTGACCCCAAAGAAGAAAAAAATGTGTTTAAACCAATGCACACCTGGTGGGGACCACAGCCCCACAAATAACCAATGTATGTTATTGTCATTCACATGAAAAGGAGCATGGTTTTCAAATTTACAAAGACAATTAGAGAATGTTAATGATTCACAACTTAAAAATTATCCAGGAAAAAAAAAAAAAAAAACTTAAAAATTATCCGAAAATGATTTTTACATAGTGAATTATCTGACCTACTATTTTTAATTAATTTTTTATAAAATAAATAGTAGAATAAGCTTCCTTCACTTATTTGTATTTGACATAAATAATTAATAAAAAAACATTCAATTATACAATTCACAACTCTTAAACCTTACTCTGCGTCTAGTATTCTCGGTTTGTGCTTTTGTTTAAGCACTTTAAGCATGTTTGGTCTGTCACATGGAAATCAATTCTTAACAATTCAAAAAAGAAATTTTTTTTTTTAAAATTACAAAAACAATAGTAAAAATAATTATTTTTAATTGAATTTTTAGATACAATTCTTAGAAACTATTAGATTAATCAAACAGGGTTTTTCAACAGTTTTTTTACTTTCCAAAAAATAAAAAAACCTATAGTTGTTAGAAAACTAAGGTCCTGTTCGACAACTGCTTTTGATTCTTATTTTGTTTTGACATGAAACAAAAATAATATTTGTGTTATGGATTGTGTTCAATAGTAATAAGAAATGACAGTTATAGTTGGTTCATAAAATTCTGAATCAAAAATACAAAGACAAGTTTCCGTAAAAAAAAGTTACTAGTTTGAAAAATAAAATAACAAGATAACAAATGGTCATTTAAGATTTTCTATGCATCACTCTAGTGTTTTATTACACTGGGTAAGTAATCAAAAATACCAATTTAATGCTTATAATTTTTATTTACAGCAAATATTATTGAACATGTTTATGTGTTTATTAACCAAAGAAAAAAAATATTTTTGTATTTTACTTTACTACAGTAATGAAAATAAAATAAAAAAAAACAGCCACCGTGGATGGTTCGGGTAGGTTCACACATTGACTTGGCATAAGTAGACTCACCCTAACACGGTAGTCTCTTTCAAATGTTTGGTCGTTTTTATATTAAAATGTCAAACTTAAAATTGCTGGCACCAATTCTTTTTCCATTTTTTTTTTGAAAATAAAATCTATTTCTTATTAAATAATAATAATAAAAATGGTATCGGAATAGTTCTATTGATCCACTAACATTATTAGCCCAAATAAATACAACACAATGAATGAATGCTAACATTCAATTGAACTACAAACATGCTTTCAAATTCAAATATATCAATGCAAAATCTTGTGGGATCTAAATAATTAAAATTGAGAAATTCAGTCTATAGGTAACAAACACAACCATTTATATTCTAACTAGTAATATTTTTGAAAATACAACATGTATAAAAATTCCAAAAAAAAGAAAATATATTTTCCTTACCTAAAGATCTCTGACTCCAAAAGACACCCACCTTCCGTCACTAGAATAATTTCATGTAATAATAATATTAGTATTAATAATAATGTAGTAGTAATTAGTGCAACCACATTAAGCTTGGTGCACCACGGCTCATTCTAGCAAAACTCGGCGGCTCACGTTAGATACTAGTGAAATCTCGTAGTGGGGGACACTAGTCCACACTGAAAGTCTCTCGATCTGGATCTGGGTCAAGAAACCCTCCATCAGAAAAATCAAGAAAAGATTAAAAATAATATCCTCCACCCAAAGTGTAGCGCAGCCTACTACAACAATACACACCACGGCTCAATCTAGCAGAATCGGGACCCAGCACTCGCCCGGCTCACGTTAGCGGCGCAAGGCAGCTCGAAGTGCCACAGCCTCCCCACACCCTTCACCAAATTCTTCCTGCACAGGAACTCCTCCGCGAAGGCTTTCTCCACCCTCCGGTCAACGTCGTGCAGGAACACATGCGTCACACCCGATCGCTTCCTGTTCCTCGCCATCACCGCCGCCGAGTAGATCGCCGCCATCCTCCCCGGCGCCGCCGCGAAGTACCCTTTCGGCGCGTCGATCATGATCAAGTCCCACTCCTTGTCGTACACCTCGCTGGGAAGACCGGTCAGCGCCAACTTGCACCGGTCGTTCCCTTTTATGTACGATTTCGCCGGCGAGCACTCCGGCTCCGACCGGTATGATCGGAGCAGATTGTCGGCCTCGTCGAGCCTGGTCCTGTACTTGACGGCGTGGGCCTTCAGGTACGGGGCTTTTTGGGTCACCGTCTCGAACCATTTCGGGTCTTCTTCGAGGAAGAGAGTGGTCCCACCGGGGTTGAGTGAGGCCCACATGAGGGAGTCCAGGCCGAGACCGAAGACGAGGAAGTTGCAGGGAGAGAGAGATCGGAGGACGTCGTAGGTGACGGAGATCTCGCCGAGGGATTGCTGCGGTACGTCGTGGGAGGTGGCGTAGTGGAGGATGGCTTTGAGCTGGATCGGCGTCGCTGAGCCTTTGTCGGCGGTGGGTTTGGACAGGGAGCAGAGGATGGAGGTGTCGGCGGCGCGGAGGAAGCTGGAGATGAGCGTCACACCGCCGATAAGACCGACGAGTGCGATGCCGAGGAACAGCGGCTTCTCGGTTAAGAAACGGCAGCTCTTCATCATTTTCTTGGGAAAAAGTTGATTGGTTCTCGAGAAAAAAGGACGGAAAAAAATCTTTGAGAGAATATCTGGTGTCTCGTGTTTTATAATGAGAGTGTGTATAGACGACTCTGGAGAAGTGAGAGCTTGTGAGATAAAAAAAAAGGGCAAGGACTGGTGGTGGTGGGAGTTGTTTTTTTTATGACTAAAATGTCCTTAACGTGATAACATTTTTTATTTATTTAATCTGATATAGTGTTACGCAGGTCTTACTTTTTCAATGCAGTGTCTTCAAATTCTACTATTGCCGTCCGTTAAATATCGTAATTATCGGATGATTGGTACTTTGTGGGGTCAGATTTTGAAATTCTTGTCGTGGTCTATTTGATATATTTTTTGGCTGTGTTTTATTGAAGTGGACCAGACCGTACCATATCTGCAAGACTTCCACTCCTTGGGATGATGACTGCCACTTTTAAGGAAATATCTTGGGTAGGGTTTGTGGCATTAAGTTGTGGTAACAGATAAGGAAATGTTGATGAATAGTTTAAACTCAATTATTCAACAATTTAATTAATGTTAATAGATTAAAGTACTCTTTCAATTTACAAATAGATGTTAATTTTTTTTTAATTATATATACATATATATATATATAATATAGTTATTCCCTTTAAATTTACTTACAGAATATATATATATTTTTAAAAATTATATATTTTTATTTTTAAATATAGTTATTCCCTTTAAATTTACTTACAGAATATTTTTTCCCAACACCAAAATTTTAGAGATCCAATTTTAGAGTTTGTTTTTCTAAGCGGACATACATTCTGTTCATGTGCCCTTGACAGGTGGGAGATTATAAAAGGGTAAATAATATTCACCTCCCTTGAAGTTCGAATAAATGGTAAATGAGTAAATCATTTGACGTTTATTATTTTGACATTCTATTAGATTTGTTGCTTGTAAGCATTTTCTTTTCGGTAAACTTATTGATCAAATTTTATAAATAACAATCTTGTCATTCTCTTGTATGAAATAAGGGTTCACACTCATAGTCACCTCCCAACCATTTACAAATCAGTGTAAAGGAAGTCAAAATAATAAATATTAAATGATGTATATGTGTGTAATTTGTCCAAATCTTTATAAAAAGATGTCAGTGTTATTTACCTTTGATAAAAAAAACTCACGTCTAGGCTAAATGTATAATATAAATTTATTTATAATTAGATTGTGTTATTACGAGTGACGGTTGTATCTTTTCAAAAATTATATTTCACTATTAATAAAGTTAAATATTAGTCATGGGAATATATATTTTTAAAGATAATATGTTTTATGTGCTAATAAGATGAATTGAGCCGATTTTCAAAGCTCAATGTTAGAGGTGTCCTACATTTGATTTGGGATTCTCGATGAGAAATGAAATGTACAAATGGATTGTGTGTTAGTTACACTTAATAATTTAAACTTTTGAGTTGGACAACGAAACACTCAGCTTGTTACAGTTAATATGCATGATAACCAAATTCAGTCCTTGGCCAAGTGTTGCACCAAGTGTTTAGTTCGAAGGTGTTTGGATTTCCCACCCGGATAGGTAGGGTGGCTTGAGGAGGTTGCGAGTTCGAGTGGGGGGAATGTTAGAGGTATCCCATATCAGATTCGGATGAAAAGTAAAATTGGCATAAATAGGTTGGAGGGTAACTCTAGGGGTGTAACTTGGATTGGGCAACTCGAGCCTGTCTGATTTTTTGTGGGCTTGGATAATTATTTTTACAGATAGAGTTGGGTCTGGGTTAAAAAATCTCAACCCGAATTTAATTAGGGTTGGGATTAGGTTGAGGTACTAGCAATCCGAACTCGAATTCGATCTTATATTATTTTCATATATATTTTTAACTTTAAATACATTATATAGAATATTTAAGCTATGATTACCTTTTTTCTTTTCAACTTCATTTGTTAAATCTTAATTTATTATATGTTAACATTTAAAATCATTAATTTTCTAAGAATTTGTTTGTACTTTATCCAAATTTATTAAATGTCTTTAAATTTTTTAATTTTTTTTTATTTTTTGTTTAAGAATAATTTAATCTAAAACTAATTCAAGATCATATAAAATTTTTAGTGTACAAATGAGTAATTCCAAGTCACCATAATTTTTAGCATGGAATCTAAGTTGCGAGACCGAATTTAAAAGTAGAAGAATATGTTGAGTTTGTGTTGAGTAAATACTATTGAAGATAGAGTTGTGTTAAACTTGGGTTTAACATTTTATATGATAAGTTAAACTCAAATTATACCTCAAATCCGCTCAACTTACCCAAATTACAGCCCTATATAACTCACTTTAATAACTTAAACTTTTAATGTCAATCGCAAAATACCTGCACATTACATCAAGCTACACCAAATAGAGTTTAGTTTCGTATTTTATGAATGCAAACACTTTTTCAGAAAATTGAACTCGAGTGTAGAGGATTGGTGCGAAAAATTAACCTTCTGTTGACCATTTGCCGTTGACTCCTAGGACGCGTGTCTTTAAAACATATTGGAGACCAAATCCAATCGAGACACGCAGAGGTGTGGAGGGAAAACTCCCCCCACCAGTAAGAACGAGACATCTGTACAAAGAAACTACAAATAATCATTCGACACGTGGCACAATCCACATCAGCACAAAATGGTACACATTACAAGTCAAAAGTGAAACAGAATCGAACAATTAAGAAATGACCAAAAAAAAAAAAAAAAAAATTATAATATGGAAAAAAATACAGAATTGAGTAGACTTGCAAGGATAGTTGAATAAATTGAGGAGACTTGACTTGATTCGGTCGCAGGGGCCATTGAAGGAAGCAGCTTGGTAGGTGCAGGTCTTCGAACTCACTGATGTGGTGACTGGTCAGCTTTATATATAAACAATTTAGGAATTTTTATTTATTTATTAATAAAAGACGAAAATACCTTGTCATGTCATGGACCAAATTAAGAACTTGGTTCAAGAAATTACTTTAGATAATCAGAAATCAGAATAGCATGGTACAAATGAATTTTATTATTATTATTAATTCTAATGATATAAATGATGAGAAATTGTAATAAAGATGATGGAGGCAATTGTCCTGAGTGGGTGAGTTATTTTTGAAGCTCTACATTCTTGTCATACCAATAATAATAAAAATAATTGCACTTTTAGCTTTTTATCTGGTTTAGCAAGGGAGACAAAATAATAAAGGTAATGAATGTTAATGAAATTACAATTGTATCCTCATTGAAAAGATAAAAGATGGATTGTGTGAGTAATCGATTGGGATGGGTATGTAAGATTACACAATCAAATCTTTCGAAATCATTAATGTCAGGTTAAATGGTGATTAATCGGTAGGAATCAACGATTCTGAGATCATGTAATAATATATCCTTATCACGTGAAAGAAAAAGAAAGTTATTTGAAAGGTACAAGCATTTAAAAGTGAGTGATTTTGTCATTTACAACTCCTTTTCTATTTATTTTTAAAAATAAAAATTTTGGTGGTTCTCACGAGAAAAGGGACCTTCATCTCTTCCTTAATTTTCACTTCCTTTCTTTCATACCAAATTGAATTTGGATCCTCAACCACACACGGTTTTGTGTTGTACCACATTATTCATATATAATACACTTAAATAAAAAACAATAAAAAACGTAACACCATTAATAATCAACAATGCAACACTAATAAATTAAGACCGCAGGTCTGCAACACTATTAATTGAGGCTACAACACCTTCAATCGTAACATGTCAAGATTGTAACACCATTATTTAAAATATAACATAATTAAAAGTCATAACTCCGTTTGTTGTTTCGACGTAAATTATATATATTTTTGAAACGGAGCCTAATGATAGCTCCTCTATAATATTTGGCACGTGTGAGTTAGTTGCTTGGGATAACAAAAATTGTTTATATAATAGAAGTTATTTTTCTTTGTTATGTCATGCTTTGGTAGAAAATGAAATGATTAAATAAGGAACACACTTTCCTTCTTATTTTCTTTTACCAATCAAATAGATTATGAAAAAGAACAAATAAATAAACAAGAAGAATGCTATATGTTCAACAATTTCTTTTTGCATTGGAGTAGAAAAAGGCTCAAATGTTAGAGATTAATCTTGAAGGGTAAAATAGTCAGTTTGAAGGGGAAAAAGAAATTGCAGAATTTGGTAAAAAAATTGATCTGCAAAGCTGTTTGAATGAGCTGAAACCACTACATCACCTACATCAAATTTGGAAAATGGCCATTGGAGATCATTTTCATGGCCAGCTCTGTTCTTTTACTCTGTAGATGCATAATAACTAGTAGCTAGCTAGATAGGTGGGGACCAAGAAAAAAAATAAAAAAAGTATGGGAGGTGAAAATGATAGGTGGATGATATAAAGTCCATATTCACACTTCTTAATTCTACATACATACACACACATATTCTATTGGTGCATTTAGTTATAATATTTTGTTTCAGTAAAATGTATGCATACACTCTAAAATAGTTATTTAATTTTACATCAAATACTTTTATCCACACTGGGTTGTTTGGGTTAGTCCCACCTTGTACAATAATGATAATGATATCATGCTAATATTTTTAGTTTTAAATGACAAATTCTATAACTACTTTTTATATTTCTCTATTTTGTTCATAAAAATAATAATCGTATTTTACTAAAGCTTGTGAAATTTTATATATATATATATTTTTCTTAGTTGGTAACTTACACACATGTCTTCACTAAGACTCAAACCACTGACCTTTCTTTGAAAAGTAGGAGTCTGATATTCGTTAGGCTACTGACCTGTTGGTAAAATTTTATTTATTTAAAATAATGCAAATTATTTTTATTAATGTTTCATCAAGATAATAATGAAATATATTTCCCAAAGTGGAATAAAAGAACTCAATTTTTATTTTTTTGTTTCTTTCAAAAAAAGTTAAACAATTGTGCGAATTTTTTTTTTCTTGAAAATATATATATTTTTGTCACTTCTCATTTTACATGTAGCTTATTATCTCATTTTCTTATGTCTTATTCTTTGTCATATCCATTTTCCATCCATCTTTATGTAGGTTTCATTTTTCATATATATGTTTTAATTATATTTTCCTCAATATATATACTAACACTACAATTTTAAAAATTATATTTATACTACAATTTATTCCTAAAAATTGCATAATGGTATATTTTGACCCCCCTAACTCAAAAATCCTGGCCCCGCCCTCTATATACGTATATGTGTGTGTGTGTATAAATCATTCAAACCCTCATCAAAATGCGAAAAATAATCTAATACAGAGTCTTGTATTCTAAATAAATAATATTTCAAATCGATCCTTAAATCATCAATAACCATATTATGATGTTTCTCATGACTTTCTTCACAATAAATAAATAACAATAATGAAGAATATTTAGCTTCTCTCTTCTTTGGCATCTGTCAAAACTGTAATGTGCATAGATGATTTTTTTTTTTTGTTTTCTCGTCAAAAACCAGATCGATCAAGAACTTTGACTATCAGAAATTCTTGAAGGGTAAATTAGTCAGTTTGAACTGGAAAAGCAAGCAAATTTGGTCTACAAAGCTGTTTGAATAGCTAAAGCCAGAACTATCATGTATGGGCAAATTCGTAAAAAAGGTCATTGACCATCATTTTCATGGCCAGCTCTAACCCTTTATCTCTGTAAACGCATGGTAATAACAGTAGCTGCCTAGGTGCAGCACACTAAGATAGAGGTCAGAAATTAACATATCAAATATTTGATTACGTAACAACTTGTGATCCCAGTGTGATTGTTTCGGACCACGCCTAGGTGCAGTAGAATAAGACTGAGTTGAGAAATTATCATATCAAATATTTGATTGCGTGACAGCTTGTGATCGAAGTGTGACTGTCTCGAACCACGTGATTGGGGACCATCTAATAATTTCACAAAATTAAGGATGATAGAGATATAAATAGGTATAGGTGGTGAAATTGATCAGGTGCATGGGAGAATGTATATATATATATATATATATATATATATATATATATATATGCAAGGTAGAATGTATATATATATTGTTATTGTGTTATATAGATGTATGATTAATTTGGAATTCGTTGGAATAGGCGTTTTTTTTGCTAATTTTCATACAAGCTTTGATTCGTCCCAATATAGAGAGAACTTTTCTGAAGAAGCAACCAAGGTGGTCAATTTTTTTGATCATCAAGAAGTAAAAGTAGTTTTCTTCCTTACGTAAATATATCAATTAATACATATATATATATATATATAGAGAGAGAGAGAGAGAGAGAGAGTGATTTCCTTAAATTCCAAATAATTAAAGTGGTCTAAGAGTTGACAGCTAGCTTAAATTAATTTTTTTCCCAGTTAAAGAGCAAGAACTGGAATTTCTTTACTTGTATAAATATGGAACACTTTCCATTCCCATTTTAGTTTTTGCTTCTAGGTTCTAGCTCTTCCCTTGCTCAGGTCAGTGCTGATATATATCTAATATCTATATATATATGCATACATCTTCCAAGAACTCTTTTTGTATAGATATATGCGCGTGTGTCTATATATTGTCAATTTTATACATTTCAATGTTTCATCTATATGCTTTGCAGAAATTTTAAGTTGATTTTTTAATATTTCTGAAGTTTCTTCTTCTACATTTCCTTCTTCCCTTTTACCACAGAAAGTTTTCGATAAATTTTATTTTATTTTATTTTTTTATTAAAATTCAACTGAAGTGTATAATTAAAAACCTAGTTTTTGATCATCTTTCTCCGTATCTAAGAAACAGTGTTGTACAAAAATCTCCACCGATTTGTTAATTTTCCTTTTTTTTTTTTCCCAATAAATATTTAGAAATTGCTTTGGTTGAGTAGATCTGGTTTGTCATGGATCTTCGAAGGCCTTAAAATAAACTTTTGTGACTGAAAAAATGTTGAATAAGAGAGAGAGAATGGAAAATTCAGTACTCTTTGATCTAATTTAATTAATTGAAATAACAAGCATATTTTATTTTAATTTAATTATTTTCTTCTTGCTAGGATTGAAAAAAAAGATGGGTAGAGGAAAGATTGAGATAAAGAGGATTGAGAACAACACGAACCGGCAAGTCACCTTCTGCAAACGGAGGAATGGACTGATGAAGAAAGGTTATGAACTGTCAGTCCTCTGTGATGCTGAGGTTGCACTGGTTGTCTTCTCCAATAAAGGTCGCGTATACGAGTACGCTAGCAATGAGTAATTCTTCAACCCCCCTATATATATATATATATATATATATATATATATATATAAACCATGCATAAATTCTTGATATATATTTATATATACATATAGTTTTTTGTTTCCTTAATTTCATTGTGATTGATATTTATGATTATTAGAAATTTGGATGCAGAAAATTTAAGGTCAATTAAGTAAAGCACTAGTAATTTTATACTTGGAATACATGACTATTTAATCATCATCTGGTTTAATTTCTGAGCTGGAAATGAACACACACACACATATATAAGAGAGAGAAGTAGGCAGTACTACTGCTCAGAAGATACTACACTAATAGTATCACTTAATTGCAGGAGTTGTCTGTTGAATGGTCTTTGAGTTGAAAATCAACGTCCTATACTCTTCCACCTTAATTAGCTAATGATTATTTGCAGGGTCGATCAGACAATCAATGATTTTTACTTGCTCAACTAAAATTGAGAAGAAAAAAGTTGGGCCAAAGAATTAAAGTTTAACATATATGTCTTGGACCTTTTGCCAGTGAGAACGCTGAAACTTATGCGGAGACAATGGCATAGTACTATATATATATATATATATATATATATATATTTATTTATATAATTTTTTTTCTTAAAGATAGTAATTTTTTAATTTCTGCTACTAGTACATCATCATCATAGATGTTGTTATTATTATTGTTGTCGTTATGCATGCCTTTAATTCACTTTTGTTGTAATTATTTTCAAGTATTTTTCTACAAGAAAAGTTTGAAGTGTTTGATTTTATGTTTTTATCGAACAAATGCTTAGGATTACAAGGCTGTAAGTTCAAAAGAAGCTATATTATTGAAAAAAAATGATCAAAATGCATTTTAAAAAGGAAGGAGAATATGATATATATCAGAGGGATCTTATCCCCCAAGGCGCTCCCTATAGCTCAAATTGGATTTAATTACATTATGATGATATTCCATCCCATCGTCATCTTCCAATCACATAAAACAGTCAAATACATATGACTTTCGAACTACTTATTATTATTCTTTAAAATATAATCAGAGATGTAATTCTTTAAAGATCCCCATCTTTCTTTTTTTTTTTTTTTTTTTTTTCTTGATTTAATGTTTCTCTCTTAAGGTGATCTAACTTGTACCTAGGTTCTCAGTGATGCTTTAAGAACCTTGTCTCCATACCAATCTAAAGTTCCATTTTCCTGTCTAATAATGTTCTTGCCCCATTCCAAAAAAGATACTTTCTTTCATCTTCTTCGTTTCCAATTAGGCCAGTCAACGTCCTGTAAGATGTCTCGGTATCCTTTAGATCTCTTCAGAAGGTAACCTCCTCTGATAGAAGGTCTCTTGTTGATTAAAGTACCGGTACAGTTTTTAACTGTAGCAACGAAGTTTTGCCGTTTTCAGGAAGGTTTGAACTCATTAAAAGTATTCTTCAATTTTTCAGTCTTTTTAGTCCACTATATATATTCATTTTGCTACCTAAGGTTCTCCACCAGATGAAACGGCAACGTTTGGAGCTAAAGTTGCTTGGGAAGTTGTTTGAATATACATGGATGAAGGTGATACAAGATTGCTATATATCCTTGGACATATTTGCCATCTCTTTTCTGATTCTAACCAAAGTATAGGGGTAAAATGGTCAAGGGGTTACCTGATTATAGGCTCATCCTCTCCTAACCCCAGTGTTGAATATGTATTTGCTATATTGAAGCAGAATCCCATGATCACTTGTTCTTCTTCAACTATCCTCTCTCTTCTCATATTTTGGTCTTGCTTCCAATTTAAATTTCATCTTCATATATATCAATAATCCTTCTAGGGTTTTTTTGGGTATGATGTCGTGCCTTAATTTTTCCTACAGCACACTCGTAGCAGAATGTTGTGTAGATGATGTGAATGAAAATGTTGAAAAATGAGACTCTTTTACAGGACTAATGTACTAGAGCCTAAGAGATATGGAGTCGTCACGTAACATTGAGTCATTATGTGCCCCCATGTATTTATTATGCATGGTTGCTAAGATTTTATACGATCCTCGAAGCGCGCGTGTTAGTACAACTTTATAAGATTCTTTATCACTTAAGCCTTATTAGATATGAGATTAAACCTATTGTGATTGTCTTTTAGGCACAACACATAGGACTTGTTAGCCTACGAAATTTCAAAAGTTTCTAAACTAAAATTAGACAAACTTAATGTGTTTCGTTGATTGAATTTATATTCTTCTTTGTGAGGGTAAAGAATTAGGTCCATCGTAGTTTGAAGAAGGCATGTTTTGACCTAGGGTATCCTATTCTCTTTGAACATGCTGTAAAAAAAAAAAAAATTTTAAAATTATTTGAGAGAGTTTGTGAACCTTTGGAAAAATTTACAAAATTTCATAAGTTTAGAAAATGTTGCAATATGATGCATTGAAAGCTTTTGATGAAATTTCAACAAAGTATTAACCTAGGTTAGTGTCTTAGGAATGTAAGAATCATGTTTCTGTGGTGTAACCAAAACCTAAATGTGCTGAAATATTCTTAAGAATGTGTTCTATCCATATTTGAAAGACCTTTTTAGCTTAATTTTCTCAGTTTCCATGTTATTGTTTCACTAAATAAAGGTTTATTGTGTTGTAATAAACACACATTCATTTGTTATCTCAACCCTAGAAAACTTCACTAGCACACACTTACATATATGAGCTCATTTATATTACTATACTCAATGTGGGATTTTTGTACACCATATCTGTGTGTATTTATGTTTATTTATATATATGACCTCAATTATATTGCTATGCTCAATGTGGGATATTTTATTTTCTTGGCACAGCATGAAATCAACTATAGAGAGGTATATGAAGGCATCTGCAGATAACTCTAACTCTTACATTGTTCAAGAGACAAATGCTCAGGTAAGCATTTTTAATATATTCTTTTACCATTATTTATCATTTACAGTTTCCAGAAAATATATATTATTTCTTTGTATATTAGTAAAATTAAACCAACCACTAGTCTAATAATTAGTTAGGGACTATCTATTGTACCGGAAGTAAAAAAATTTTGGGAGGGCCGGATTTAATTTCTCTGCGCCAAATTAATTTTAATAACCAAAAATTCCTATCTCCCTCCCTCCGCCCCCATATGCAGCCTAATACGCATGCTTGTTACAAAGGGTATTTGTCTCATATCGAATTCGGATGGGGAGTGAAAGGGGTATAAACTCAACAATTTAAGTTTTTGAGTAAATGAACAAGCGCCCACCAGTTTCAGTTGGTATCAAAGCCAAACTCCTTGATCCGATGCCACGTCCGGGTGAACCACCCCGGGGCTTTGCAAGTTCGGGCGGGGAGTACGTTACAAGGGATATTTGTCCCATATCAGATCCGAATGAAAGTGAAAGGGGTATAAATGGGTGGGTGGGTATGCAGTATTATCCAACAACTTACACTTTTGCATATTTCACGAAAAGCATGTGAATAAGTTCTTAGTTTTGAGATACATTGTTCAATTTTTTTTTTTTGTTAATCTCTTTTGGCAGGAATGAGTTTAGTATTTTTTTTTAAAACTTTTTATTCATTTGATTCTTTTCTCTTTGGATTGCATGTATACAGTATTATCAGCAAGAATCGAAGAAGCTGCAACGACAAATAGACATGCTTCAGAGTACCAACAGGTTTTTTTTTATGCAATTTAAATAATACAAACTATATTACATGTATCATGGAAATTATATGCAGATATATATGCTAGCTAGTACTAAAGTTAAAAGGAAAGCCTTAATAAAATCTCGAATAACTAAAAATTTATGTTTTACCTAGTGTAATTACCTTAGAAACTCCCTAATACTCCACATTTATAGTGATTTTCTAATAGCATTACTCTTATATATATATATATATATGTGTATACATGTATGTATATATAAATAAAACTGTCTTCTTTACTTACAGGCATTTGATGGGTGAAGGCTTGGGCTCTTTAAATGTGAAGGAATTGAAGCAGATGGAAAACAGACTTGAACGAGGCATTGCAAGAATCAGGTCAAAAAAGGTAACCAACACACACACACACAAAACCAGAAAAAAGGCAAAAAAAACAGAAAGAAAGATAGTCAGTCTGAGTATTTTACTATTACATCATGAATTTTTTTGAAATGTTTTCCTTTTTCATAAATGTTGAAATTGTATCTTAGAAAACAGTTCAAAAAAATTCGTAATGCAATGGCTCATACCGTCAATAACGAGATGGAAAGTTCATGAAATAATTTGTTTTGAACAATACCTCTTTAATGGTGAGGAATAATTTTTTTTTCACACGATTGATGTGGTACAATTATAAAATGACAAGTGTTTATTTTAAATTTAAAATATGTAAAAGAAAAATTTTTAACTTTACTTTTTTTATATATTTAAAATTCAAAATGAATACGTGTTATTCTAACTGTTTATCTATTTTTTAGTATCATTTGACTTTATCACCACCTTTGACCAATTTTTAATTTCATTGCAGTCCTATTTTATTTTCTAAATTGAAATTCATTTATTATTTATTAATAATTAGTTAATTACTAATTGTCCCGTTGTCTTACGGGCATCTTTTGTGCTACTTTTCAATTTGCGCAGAACGAAATGATGCTCGCGGAAACTGAAAGTAGGCAGAAAAGGGTGATATTCTAAGCTTTTTATTGCAGATAAATTTTCTTTACATGTTCTGACACACTGTTTATTTGTTTGATATTACCGTAATGAATTTATCTACTGACACAATTAATTATTCTGATTATTTGTTTTCCATAGAATACTGAGCTGGAACATGAAAATGCGATCCTCCAAGCGAAGGTACTATTTAGCTAATAAAGAAAAATACATTGTTCGTTTAATTAAACACACACACACACACAAATTTGTTATTCTTATTATCAAGGGAATTAAGGACTTTTCATTGATGATACATAGAAGTTATTATCAATAAAATTAAGGACTTTTTATTGATGTGGTACTACATAGAAGATATCCGAGGAAGTGAAGAATTTTCCTCTCCAAAGATAATTTCTTTTTATTGATGGGGTACTTTTTATAATGTGGTTTGGCACAACTTGGTCTAGTCCCCTGATGAGAAGATGTTCAATATGATAATGTAGAGATATTATATGGTAGAAAATTTCTAATATTAGACCATAAACAAACACTCTTGCCCTAGAGTTCTTTGTTGTGTACTCTATGAGATTCCTTCTCACCATCGGAGTTAACTTCACTCAACCTGCCCGTAAACTACCTTAACCCATTAACTTCCTTGTGAAGCTGCCTATCACTAGAATTAGGGCTGCCACCTTCCACTATAGAATTTGGGCTACATCTATCGGGTATGTTTGGATCGAGAGATTTGAAGGGATAGTGAGAGAAAAGAAAAGAAAGGATAATATAAATTGTGTTTGGATAGGTTAAAAGAAGAGAAAAGAAAGGATAGAAAGGGATAGCTATCCCTCCCTATCTCTCCTTTTCTATCTCTCAAAAAATGAGAAGATAGGGAGAGAAATGATAGTGTTTAAGTAGTATTTTAATAATTCCGAAACTACCCTCAACAATTAAAAAGAAGAAATTATTATTCCACTCATATCCCACCTATTTTAAAGGATATGATAGTAATTTTGGTGTTTCTGCGCTTTAATCAACAACTCTGCCATGCTGGTGGGAGGTTCTTTGGATAAGGCGAACAAGAATCTGGAGGTTTGGAGTCCTCCTATGAAAGCGGTCAAAGCCACCTTGTTATCCACCTGTTCTGTCTGCAACATCTCTGTATTGAATCGGGTGATGTATTCCCTGATCGACTCGCCCTTCTGTTGCTTCACGGTAAGCAGGTAGGTGGCCGGCCTCCTATGCTTCTGACCTGCAATGAAGTGGCTCACAAATTGCTTACTCAGTTCTTCGAAGGTGTTGATGGATCCTGACTTCAGCTTGTTGAACCAAACTCTTGCCGATCCCTTAAGTGTAGTGGGAAAAGCTTAGCACATGATTGCATCTAGCACGACATGCAAATGCATAAGAGCTTGAAAGGTCTCCAGGTGATCGAGGGGATCTTTGGTCCCATCAAAGCTTTCGAACGAGGGCATTCGGAACTTGCTAGGCAGGGGGCATTTCATAATGGTGGGGCTGAATAGTAGGTTGGTCCTCTGCACCAGGTCATTTATGGCGACAGGACCTTTCTCTTTCATAGCCTGCATTACATCTTCCATTTTCGCCTTGAGATCCTCGATTTGTAGGTCGAAATAGGTAACTTTCTCTGTCTTTTCCTTTACACAAAAGGTTGTGCCTGTTTGAGACTGGGGATTCCGCGGAGGCGAGGAAGGAGGTTCTCTGTGTCGGTTTCTGACTTGGATTTGTTCTGTCTCGAACTTGTGAGAAAGATTGTTTTCTCGGTCCTCCTTGTGTTGTCCCCCATCATTCAGATTGGGAGGACATGGGTCGGACAATTCTTGTTGAGGTGGTGGTCCCGCTGGGATAAGATGTCACAGGATCTCTGCATTTTGTTGGATCAACTGGTCCATACTCTGATGCAGAGTTTGGACCTGTAGTTCTAACGTTGCAAGCTGTTCCTAGTCATTCGGGACGTTTGGGTGCTCACCCGACCCTTCTTTTTGACTGGATCCCTGCAACGATGTTTCTGTTCCAGTTACCATACCGGACTGCAAGTGCATATACCCAACCGAGTAATTGATTTAAAGGAATCGTCGTTCCCACAGACGGCGCCAACTATTGAGGGTGAAATCCACATGGTCCGATACAACACCGTTTTCCAACAAAGAAGAGAGTAAAAGATCGATAAATCTTGACGGCACCGGTGTGGTGCATACCAAGAGATCTCCAACGATCAAGTTAGTCACCGGAGTTCTAAAAGAAAGGCAGGGATTTATTAATAGTTTTCTCATCGTACCTTACTCCCGAGTCGTCTTCCTATTTATCGTCACTTCCCTTATTCTTGATAAGGGAATATCATAATTCTTATCCCATGGAACTTATCCCACGGAGCTTATCCAATGGAAATCGTTATCCTTGATAACGAAATAATATCTTTCGAAAGTAGAAGAGATCTGGTGGCTGGTCAACACTTCGTTGCCTCTATTGTTAGGTCAAGATAGGTTAGGTTTATTTTTCCCTACCACCAACAGTAGCCCATTTGCTCCATTTTTGTTAATGAATAGTAGTTACTAAGGTGGGTAAAAAATATTTATTTGTTTTATACACAATTTTCATATATATATATATATATATACATACACACACACACACACTGTTCACAAATACTATTTCTTCTTCCCTCTCTTATTTTCAGCAACATTTTAGCAACCCAAATCCCACTATTTTCTTCTCTCCCAAAATATTGATTTTGATTTTTTTCCAAAATCCTGCCATTTCTGCAACCTAGATTTTGATTTCTTTTCCAAAATATTATTTGTTGTATGTCTTTTGTTAATTTTCACAAAAAATATCAATAAACCCAAATCCTGCCAGTTGCTTAGATTTGCCCAAAGGTTTCAGAGAGAGAAAGTTAGAGAGTGAAAGAGATCATTTTTTACTTATTATCTTCTTCTTCTTTCAAATCTCGATTATTCTCTTTGATTTGTTTCCAAAACCAATTACAAACAAATCACACAACTATTTCTCAATTCCTTTGTTTCCATAAATTTCTCAGATCTATTTCTACATTCATTTGTTTCCATAAATTTTTACTTCCCTTTCTTCGTATATTAGGTCATTTTATTTCAAATTAATATAGCAATATTGGAACAGAGCAACATCTGGACTGTCATGGTTTTTTTGTTTAATTATTTGTGTACTGCATAACATCCTAAACATGTTGTAATTTAATTCAATCTAAGTTGTACGCGACATTCCAACATAATCCTAATAAATTATTTGCACATAACATCCCAACAGTTTGTAATTTAAGTCAGTATAACTTGTACGTAACATTCCAACATAATCCTACTTAACATCCCAAACAATACGTACATAACATCCCAACAGTTTGTAATTTAAGTCAGTATAAGTTATACTTTACATCCCAACATAATCCTACTTAACATCCCAAGCAATACATATTTTGTATCACAAACAGTACTAACTATATTTGTTGCTTATGTTATACATAAAATCCCAACAAAATTCTACTAAAGAGAGTGCGAACCAGTTATGTTTGTGCTCTTTAATCATATAAGAAAAAATATACCCAAAATTGAGATTTAGATGAACAAAGCTTAGATCTATGGATGATACTCTGGAGTTTCTGCATAATAGTCCAGTGAAATTACATGGGTTTTTAGAATGTGTTTGGGTTTTGAAGTGAAACTTTGAAGTTCAAAAGTTGCTGTGAGTCTTTAGAGAGTCCATTAATGAAAGCTGATGAAACTTTTAGAGAGAGAAAGGAAGAAGACGACGTATTTTGGAAGAAGACGACGTATAATTACATGGGATTTTAGAGTGTGTTTAGGTTTTGAAGTGAAGTTTTGAAGTTCAAAAGTTGTTGTGAGTCCTTGGAGAGTCCATTAATGAAAGCTGATGAAGCTTTTAGAGAGAGAAAGGAAGAAGACGGCGTATTTTAGAAGAAGAAGGCGTATTTTAGATATAATATTTAAATGCATTTATATATATGGAATACAATATTTAAAGGTTTTATATATGAAATACAAGGGTGGTGATAATTTAGTTACTCAATATTTTTAATTGATGTGGCCAATTTTCCTCCACTTATTCCAAAATGGAGCAAATGGGCTACTATTTCACTGGAGGTGATTTTCTACCATAGAATTAGGGCTGCCACCTACCACTATAGAATTGGGCTTCGTCTATCCTAATCTCATAAGCCTCAATCCATTTCCTTGATTACTATATATAAAGCCTCAATCCATTACCTTGATTACTATATATAAAGTCACAAAATCAATTCTTTGTTGGACAAGAATTATAATTCTTTGGAGTCTAAAACTTGCTTAACCTAATAGAATACAACTCTAAAATAAAACTTAACTAGACTAAAATTTGAGACACAATACATAGAAATCTTCACCTGACTCAAATTCCATCAAGTCAATCATTACTTCCTACAGTAATTGAATTGGACATGCGGCTTCGATCTATCTTGCACAACGCTGATTGTCCACAATGTATAATATATGTTGCTTGATCAGTCAAACCTCCAAGGCCCCACCTTGACTACTCAAGCTCCATGCTGTGTAACTTATCACAATTTTTTGACCATCGTAACCAAACAAGATGTTTGATATACTCAGCCTTGACTACTTAACCTCAATTCCTTGTATTTTTTGGGTCTCCTCCAAATAAAGACTAAACTTCTAAACATGAACCTTTAACTCTGATACCACTTGTTGGGGGCCATAAAAGCGTAAAGATATGGAGATCCAATGAAAGATGAATAAAGCAATCACATAATAAAGACAAGTTATAACATGGTTTGGCACAACCCGGCCTATGTTTACAGATAAAAAGAGATTCACTATGATTATGTAAAAATATTACAACAGTGAAAAATTCTCAACACCAGACCATAACACACACTCTTGCCCCATTATTTTTCTCCATGTACTCCACAAGCCCCCTCTAGCCATTGGTGTTAATTAACTCCACTCTACCAACTCATAAACTTTCTCTAGTCTCTAGCAATCAACTCTCTCATGAAGCCGCCTTCCATTATAAAATTAGGCCTATATTTCTATCAATTTCATTCCCTAAATTCTCAAATCCAATTCTTTGTTGGACAAGGATTATGATAAGAATCTAAAACTTGTCTAACAATAAATTACCTAATAAAATAAAACTCTAAAATAGAAACTTAATTAAACTTTGCAACACAATACATAACACCCTCTCTTCAATTGATTTCTTCACTTAAATTGCACATCATTACTCATTTATTATTTGCCTTTTTGCAAAAAAAATTATTATGTACTACCCAATTCCTAAAACCTACCATAGGTTTTTGAATTAATAGATCGTAATGATCTATTAATTGCACGAATTATATTAAAAGTAGTAATCTATATAATTGAAGATAACCCTAGAATTGAGGAGCTTATGGCATATAGAAAAAATTGCCATATATATATCAAAACAAGAATTTAGTGTGCCACAGAGGAAGGTAGATATCATCCCATGCACAAGGGATAAAATCAATTCTGCCACACCACGTGAGGTGATTTCTACCCTTTACTTGTGTTTTGGACCGTCCAATGTACAAAAAAGAATCCAAATTCATTAAAACGATGGTTGTCAGTTATTTCTAGCCTAACGGACAACCCAAACAAAACAATCTTCTATATATTGCTCTCTTAGAATTGTATGACAAGGCTTAATTTTGATATTGTTACTATTTGTTGAGTAATCAATATGTATTGCTACAAGTGACTTGACTTCAAATTATGTTTACTTCAAATTATGTTTACGCATATATGTTTATGTTTATGTATGTATGTTCAATGCTTTGAAATTGATTAAAATTATCAGATAGTAGAAAATGAGAGACTTCAGCAGTTAACCATGATGCCTGGGCAAGAGTACAATGCAATCCATGCATTCTTATCACGCAATTTGCTCTCACTTGATATGATGGACACAGAACCAGTTGTTTATCGCCCACTTCCTGAGAAGAAGGCTCTTTATCTCGGGTAATTGTTCATCACCTTTAATCTATCCGTTGTGTTATTAGGTCCTTTAAACGTGAGATTTGGTATTATTTGCATACTAGTCTTAAATTATAACTTGTCATCTCATTATTTAATATTATTATTATTTTTACCATGACAAAAAAACTCATTCACTCACTCACATCCCTACATTACAAAATTATTAATTTAGCATTACTTGCATACATAAGATCAAAATTTAAGCAAACACGCTTTAAGAAAATAGATTTTACTAAGTCGATATATATATATATGTGTGTGTGTGTGTGTACGTGCACAGTTGATCCATTTTGATGTCACAAATGTGTGTGGCATTTTTTTTTTTTTTCCTAGTTATGTGTATGACATCTTTTGTTATACAAAAAATGATAACTGAGATGTCAAATAATTAATATTGATTGAAACATTATAAGAAGAGAGAGAGAGAGAGAGAGAGTCAGTTCTTTTGCTAATTGTGTAAAAGTCTTTTTTGAACACTGTTTTATTGAAAATCCCAAAAAAAAAAAAAAAAAAAAAAAAATTGGCATCATTGCATTACTCTTGTTATACGCAGTATAGTCCACCATTGAATATAATAATTATTTATATTTCTTGACATTGATCTATTCATGATGTATATGCAGGTGATTTGGTGTCCGCAGTGCTTTGGAGACAGAGGGTCATCTTGTTTATATATTTATATATAAAATAAAAGTGTCTTGTTTTAATTATCTACTACAGTACTACTCTATTGACATATTTTAATTATGGTGTGTGGTTATATATACATATGTTACCTATATGTATCTCTACTGACTTAATTACCATGGTGAATTAATAATTATAATATTGAGCAATTTGTTTAAATGATATCTCTTTTTGTTTATTCAAATAGAAAGTCAAGGGATCAAGTCCTCTTAATATGTAAGTAATTTTGGGTATACAAACACACACACACACACTAAGGGATCAATATATACCAAGTATACTATATTACATGGCAATTCATGCAATATGAACATGAAATTTGTTCTCCTCATGCAAAATGAATGCGATTGAATATGTTGATCAACTATTTCAATCTTTTTTGGTTAAGAACATCACATTCGTAGATAATGTATCAAAAGACTAAAAAACACCATGAGACCCTTTGCTCAAAACCCAAGCCCCAACCACCTTAAGCCACCATTCCGGCCACCAGCAAAACCACCATTATCTTCTCCTTTTCCTTCTATTCCTCCCCACGCTGACAAGAACCAACTAGTTCCACAACAGTTCTCTTCGCGTAAGCCACCAGTGCATCCTAATAGGAGTCTTGCCTTAGGACTGATCAAGAGCGATGATGTTTAGCCGGTGCAAACCCGGAAATCTCTCCCGGTTGATGGCCAGCCACAAGCAGCAAAAAACTCGTTACAGTTGTCCAAATCACCATCTAACCTCAAACCAAGGCCTCTATCCGTCACAGGTTTTACCAAGGCGAAGGTTATGAACGCTTTACAGTAGATTTAAGGTGCTTAACCCCTTAAGCAAGGTCATCAATTATATTGTGTATCTTCCGGAGGGTATTGATGCATCCATGATGGACTCCTCAAAGTTTGAGCTCATTGAAGAAGTGGACAGGCTTCGGAAAGCGATTAAATGCTTGGAGGAGGAGCTTCTGTCAGCTAAATCCAGGTTTTAAGAATTTATTATCATCTGATCTTTCTTCACTTAGGGACATTATTGCTAGATTGGAAAGGGTCTCTAGTACCCCATGTCCAGGTGTTTCCAACTCTGTCATTCCTGTTGCACCACCATCTCTAACCACCATGATTGGTGGCTCTTTTACGGTGGCCCACGCGCCGCTGGCCCAAGTTGATAGGCGTGTGGGTAATGATTTTCCCCCCATAATTTCAAACCACTGCAAGATTGCGAGATCCCTGGTTTTAGGGGATCCTCACATCATATCAATTGCTTCAACATCTCATTTTGTGGGACACCCTATCCTAGGCAACCAGATAATAGACCACAATAAGAGCCAACTAATTCCATTATATTCTAACCAAACATGTCTTAACCAGTTATGTCCTAATCCTCAGTTACTTCAACAAGAGGGTCCCTCACATGATGATGACCATGCATATGAGCCCACTTTTTGCACCAAACCACTTGAAGGGGGCCATTTACGAAGGGAAATATGATGGAAGGTGACTCTAAAAGCTGGTCTTTCGTGGCACAAGCCCTTAATGACATGTAGAGCTTTCAGTTCTTCGAGCCTGGTGAAAGAGATGGTCTGCTTATTGTGGAATCACCAGATGAGGTGTGTGAGAAAGGAACTACTTACTGGAGGAAATGTCTTGTGGGGAGAGGAAGATGCCATTTAAGCATGTTTCAGCAATGGCACACAAGTTGTGGGGCAACAGGGGTCTGCAAAAGGTTGTGGTTAATAAGGAGGGTACCTTCTTCTTCATATTCGACATTGAGGATAGTTGTTTAAGTATTTTGGCTGGGAGATAATGGTTTCTTGGTGGTAAACCTATCTCACTGAGGGTTTGGCAATCAGACCCACCATCTCATACATAAACTAATCAAGAGGAGCAATCTAAGACTGTTTCAATATGGATCAAGCAATGGAATGTACCTTTTAAGTTCTGGTATCCAAAAGGGCTTAGCTATATGGCTAGTGCCGTTGGTAAACCCCTTTATGATGATGCGCACTAACACAAAGAACATAAGCAGACTCGATTATGTAAGGGTGTGTGTAAAAATTTACCCCTCTTCTTCCTTTCCATGTAGCTTCCATGTCAGGAAAAGATGTGGGGAATTGGTTCTTGTCAAAGTGCAGTACACTTGGTTCCCATTGGTATGCTCTCTGTGTTCTTCCTTTGGTCACATTGATAACAATTATGGTTGTAAAGGTTCAAACCTTGAGAAAGATATGCAGGTCCCTGTTGACACTTCTTCCCAACCTTGGCAGCTGGTTAAAAGGAAGAAAATTTGTTCTGACACTGCGGTTTGTCTTTTAATTCTAAACCCTTTTACAGTAAGTGCTGCAAATGATACACAAGCTCTTGCATCTACATCAAAAAAGATTATTTGATATAAGGACCCGGGAGTTGGACTTCAAGGAGTGGTGCATAACCCCCCTTCCTTTTCAACCACTTGCCATAAAGTGGGAAATCATGTGATTACCCAAATAGATAAAAGGAAGGCTATCTCCCTTGTGGTAGACCTTTTCCCATACAAAAAGATTTCAAAATCTCTAATCTTAACACAGGTTGAGCCCATTCCTAGGCCTAGTAAGGCTTCTTTTTCCGAATACATTAGTGTTCCCCATTCCATTTCAACCTCCAACAACTTTGGTACTCTGGAGTGTATGGCTCTCTTGATGAAGGAAAGTATTCCAGAAGGATTACAGGAGGATGTACCAGCAGCTTTGGTTAATATTGAGGATGAGAAGGATGTTTCGATATCTAACTCAAGCTCCCATGATCCTATCTACTCTCCAATTATGAAAAAAACATCTAAGCCTAGGAAACCAATGCATACCAAGCATTCCAAAACTGAGAAGAAGAACAGGATTGGAATTCACAAAGTTTGCACAACAACTAATGTTGTTACCCTTAAGGGGTTTATGGGGTTGAGGGGTCTCATATCATCATCCTCTCAATGATTTGGGTAGCATGGAATATAAGAGGGTTGAACTCTCCCCTCAAACAAGTAGTGGTTAGAAAGCTTATCAGAGATTCTGAGTTGTGTCTAGTTTTTCTTTTTGAAACTAAAGTTAACTTTTGTAATGTTTATGGCATCTATAAAGTTATTGCACTTTCATGGATGATAAGATGTAATTACTCATCATCTATTATGGGTAGAGTGTGGATACTTTGGAACCCTGCAATGCTGTCCTTATTGTCCTCATATGAAACTAGTCAAGCCATTCACTGCTCATTCTTTCTGAAGGAGCCTAAGGTCAAATGTTTGACATCATTCATCTATGCTTTCAACACTGCAATGGAAAGAAGGCCTCTTTGGAGGAGTATTGGTCAGCAGAGTGACTCGAGTATGCCTTGGATCCTTATGGGAGATTTCAATGTGTCACTATATGTCAATGAATCCTTTGGGAATGCTCTGAGATGGATAGATGGTATGCATGAGTTTAGGCAGTTTCTGCATAGGAATGAATTAGAGGACATAAAATACAATGGGATCTACATCAGTTGGAAAAATAATAGTCTTGGGTGTGCCAATATTTCTAGGAAGCTTGATAGAGTTTTGATCAACCATGCATGGATGAATTTGTTTCCACAAGCTGAATGCAATTTTCTATCGCATGGAATTTCGGATCATTCACCTATGGTGGTTAAGCTGGGAATTATATCTCCTAGAAGGAATATTTTATTTAGATTTTTCAACTTTTGGACACTTAACCCTAAATTTCTTAAAATTGTGGCTCAAGTTTGGCAGTTGGAAGTGACTGGTACAAGGATGCATTGTGTGGTTAAGAAGCTTAGGGCTTTTAAGCAACCACTTAGACTCCTGAACAAGAATGAATTTGAAGCTATTTCAGAGAGGGTGGAAGCCTGTAGGAGTGAGTTGTACCAGTGTCAACAAAGTTTGGACCTTAATCTTGCAAATAATCAGTTAAGGAGTGTTGAGAGAGAACTTGCTGCCAAGTTCTTTTCTCTATGTCTTGCTGAGGAAATTTTTTACAAACAAAAGGCACAAATACATTGGTTGAAGGAAGGTGACTAGAACACATCATATTTCATGAAGAGTTTCTCATCCAAAGCCAATAGAAGGAAAATGTTGTCTTTTGAGGACCCTAGTAGTGATGTGCTACAAGGTCAGGAGTCGCAAAATGCTTTGCTTATCCACTTCCAGAATCTCTTAGGCCAGATCTCATCTGCCTATCCAGGTATATCTTACTTCTCTGAACTGATCACTAAGGCTGTCCCAAGTCACCTGTTATCATCTCTAAGTGCCATTCCCTTAGATATTGAAATTCAGAAGTGTATTATTTCATTTCAC